ACTGGTTTGGGCTAACTCTCTCCCTTCTCCCTATCCTCATTTAAAAAATAAATAGAATAAACCACAGACATACCTCTGCATATCTAAGCTATGGCAAGACGAGAAGGAGCACTGCTGGGTTTGCGTAAGGGAGGCTGTTTTCATGGAATCTTCAGTCTGACCAAAAGAAGGAAATTCTAGAACTCCCATGGAAGAGATTCTGTTCTGAAGAAGTCGACAATCCATTTTTACCTAGCAGAGAAGCTGGGATCATTTGGTCAATGTTCAGTGAAACATCCAAAACAAAGCTCTCCGTTGCTCACTTTTAGTAGAGATGGGCTGAAAATATCTTAAAAATGTAATACTGCCTAACACACACTGTCCTTTTTACCATTGCTCCTCCAGCCAGGAGGCTCATTCCCACATGCTACCTCTTTCTCTGTCCCCCATTCAGCAGTTATTGACAGGAATGCTTAGGCCAGGCCACAACTTTGGTAGAACCAATGTGATGATGCAACATGGCACAGCCTGAGAGAATCAATATGGCTTTATCTGTGCTACAACATTTCGTTGCTATTTTCCACAGAGAACTGCTAGCACTGGTGTAAGCACTAGTGTAGACTGGGCTCCAGCATATTCAGCACTGTTTCATGATACCAGGATGATGGAGACTTTATAAATACATAGATGAGAGAGAGCGATGAAACCCCACTGCAAGCAAGATTTCAGACCAGACTTTTAGACATAGGGGTGAAAAACCTAAGCCTGGTCTACTACAACAGGCAACAGCAGTATCACTGATGGTAGAAAACAGATCCAAAATGAGCAGCCTCAACTCCTGATGCAATTGAAGGCACTCAGCACATCACAGCAGTGCCCAGCACCATATAAGATTAAGCCCTAAAGTTTCTGCAGGGTCTGTAGAAAAATCTCAGTGCTACCCTTATTTTCTGTGTTCCCCAAAAGGGAGAATCCTGGGCATAAGGAGACCAGGCTGAGTGGGGTCCTTCTCTTCACCCCTTCTTTGTGCTTCGGCCAATCACTGCTCTAGTAGGAGAAGAGCAGCAGATTCCAAAGCTGCCCTGGCTACTGCTCAGAACAGTTCTATGGGAAGGGAAACCGGACGAGCCAAAGGAAACAGGCCCTGGTTCTCATGGGGGACTTCAATCACCCGGAAACCTGCTGGGAGAGCAATACAGCGGTGCACAGACAATCCAGGAAGTTTTTGGAAAGTGTAGGGGACAATTTCCTGGTGCAAGTGCTGAAGGAACCAACTAGGGGCAGAGCTTCTTGACCTGTGGCTCACAAACAGGGAAGAATTAGTAGGGGAAGCAAAACTGGTTGGGAACCTGGCAGGCAGTGACCATGAGATGGTCGAGTTCAGGATCCTGACACAAGGAAGAAAGGACAGCAGCAGAATACGGACCCTGGACTTCAGAAAGCAGACTGACTCCCTCTGGGAACTGATGGGCAGGATCCCCTGAGAGAACAACATGAGGGGGAAAGGAGTCCACGAGAGCTGGCTGTATTTTAAAGAATCCTTATTGAGGATGCAGAAACAAACCATCCCAATGTGTAGAAAGAATAGTAAATATGGCAGGCGACCAGCTTGGCTTAACAGTGAAATCCTTGCTGATTTTACACACAAAAAAGAAGCTTACAAGAAGTGGAAGATTGGACAAATGACCATGGAGTATAAAAATATTTCTCAGGCATGCAGGAGTGAAATCAGGAAGGCCAAATCACACTTGGAGTTGCAGCTAACAAGGGATGTTAAGAGCAATAAGAAGAAGGTCAAGGGAAGGGTGGGCCCCTTACTGAATGGGAGAGACAAGCTAGTGACCGAGGATGTGGAAAAAGCTAATGTACTCAATGCTTTTTTTGCCACTGTCTTCACGAACAAGGTCAGCTCCCAGACTACTGCACTGAGCAGCACAGTATGGGAGGAGGTGACCAGCCCTTTGTGAAGAAAGTAGTGGTTCAGGACTATTTAGAAAAGCTGGACGAGCACAAGTCCATGGGGCCGGATGCACTGCATCTGAGAGTGCTAAAGGAGTTGGTGGATGTGATTGCAGAGCCATTGGCTATTATCTTTGAAAACTCATGGCAATTGGGGGAGGGCCCGGATGACTGGAAAAAGGCTAATGTAGTACCCATCTTTAAAAAGGGGAAGAAGGAGGATCTGGGGAACTACAGGCTAGTCAGCCTCACCTCAATCCCTGGAAAAATCATGGAGCAGGTCCTCAAGAAATCAATTTTGAAACACTTAGAGGAGAGGAAAGTGATCAAACAGTCACATGGATTCACGCAGGGCAAGTCATGCCTGACTAGCCTAATTGCCTTCTATGATGAGATAACTGGCTCTGTGGATGAGGGGAAAGCAGTAGAGGTGTTATTCCTTGACTTGAGCAAAGCTTTTGATATGGACTCCCACAGTATTCTTGCCAGCAAGTTAAAGAAGTATGGGCTGGATGAATGGACCAAAAGGTGGATAGAAAGCTGGCTAGAACATCAGGCTCAACGGGTAGTGATCAATGGCTCCATGTCTATTTGGCAGCCGGTATCAAGCGGAGTGCCCCAAGGGTCAGTCCTGGGGCCGGTTTTGTTCAATATCTTCATTAATGATCTGGAGGATGGCGTGGTTTGCACCCTCAGCAAGTTTGCAGATGATACTAAACTGGGAGGAATGGTAGATATGCTGGAGGGTAGGGATAGGATACAGAGGGACCTAGACAAATTGAGGATTGGGCCAAAAGAAATCTGATTAGGTTCAACAAGGACAAGTGCAGAGTCCTGCACTTAGGACGGAAGAATCCCATGCACTGTTACAGACTAGGGACCGAATGGCTAGGAAGCAGTTCTGCAGAAAAGGACCTAGGGGTTACAGTGGACGAGAAGCTGGATGAGAGTCAACAATGTGCCCTTGTTGCCAAGAAGACTAACGGCATTTTGGGCTGTATAAGTAGGAGCATTGCCAGCAGATAGAGGGACGTGATCATTCCCCTCTATTCGGCATTAGTGAGGCCTCAGCTGGAGTACTGTGTCCAGTTTTGGGCCCCACACTACAAGAAGGATGTGGAAAAATTGGAAAGAGTCCAGGGGAGGGCAACAAAAATGATTAGGGGGCTGGAGCACATGATTTATGAGGAGAGGCTGAGGGAACTGGGATTATTTAGTCTGCAGAAGAGAAGATTGAGGGGAGATTTGATAGCTACTTTCAACTACCTGAAAGGGGGTTCCAAAGAGGATGGATCTAGACTGTTCTCAGTTTTTCCAGATGACAGAACAAGGAGTAATGGTCTCAAGTTGTAGTGGGGGAGGTTTAGGTTGGATATTAGGAAAAACTTTTTCACTAGGAGGGTGGTGAAACACTGGAATGGGTTACCTAGGGAGGTGGTGGAATTGCCTTCCTTAGAGGTTTTTAAGGTCAGGCTTGACAAAGCCGTGGCTGGGATGATTAAGTTGGGGATTGGTCCTGCTTTGAGCAGAGGGTTGGACTAGATGACCTCCTGAGGTCCCTTCCAACCCTGATATTCTATGAAAGTTGGGATTCTCACATAATCACATGACTCCATGATCCAGGGCCAGTAAAACTTCTAATATGTGAGTTGGCAGCACTGTAGAGTGCTCATAGGAGAATGGTCCTTTTTGCAAACCTCAGTCACATAAAATGGAACAAAGTTCCAAGGGCTGTTCCCTGTCGACGGGCTGGAGTTCGTATCCATTGACTGCAGAGGTTGCTATTACAACCCTGCACTAGCCCAGGGCTGGATTGGTATGCATGAGCAGCCGGGACACTATGTCATAAATTCAACTGGAACCACTCCCCTTTATTTACCAGCACTCTTTGTTGTGTACATGCATACACAAACTGAAGTGTGTTCTGGGGAGTCCAGTTTTGTGGTTTGCTCCAGAATAAAATGTCTCCCACCACCATTTCTGGAAAAATGGGACTGTTAAGCGAAAGTAAACAGCAGTTAATTGGCCCCGCTGACCTATGCAGCACTTAAGCCCGTAGCTGCAGAGGACAAGTAACTTGAGGTTCTCTTCCTTCTCCAAGCATCACTTTCCCTTCTGATGGTGAAACAGTGAGAGAGAGGACAGCAGAGACATTGGAGGAAAGCAGAAACAAGGCTATGGGGAGTACAGAAATGCTTGGAAGGAAGGGTAAAGAGGACACTAAAAAGGGACAGAAAGAGGAATCCCACTACCACAAAAACAAAAAACAAACCAACCATCACCTGCGGTTATGAATTGCAATGCAGCAGGGACTCACAAGACAAAGTCGACGTTAGCTTAAGGGAAGTCGTAGGAGAGTTATCCACTGTGTTTACGAATATGCCAATGAAACCCTTGCTCTTGTGCTTTTTATGAATGGTCAGCTAGAAAGAACCACTGGAAAGAAGAAGAAATATTCTGAAACAAGGAGACAAAACTAGGAGCCAATAGTGTTCACCATTCCTTAAAATAAATAGATCAAAGTGACAGTGATTTGACCCATTTAGCAGTTCTCTATAAAGACCTCAGCTTGAAGACTCCATACAGTCTCACTAAGGCAGCAGTCCAGCAAAGGCTTACATACGTGCTGAGCTTAACACACTGACTTCAGTAGAACTACTCAGTTCAGCACGTGTATAAATCTCTGCAGGACTAGAGGCTAAAGCCCTGATTCAGTAAGGTACTTAAGTACATGCTTTATTTTAAGCACAAGTTGTTCAGTTAGGTCAAGGAGCCTATTCTGGTGCTTAAAGTTAAGCATGTGCTTAAGCGCTTACTGCATCAGGGCATTAGTGTTCAGTCATTGTGCAAAGGCCTCTAAACAAAACAAATAACTGGAAATATAAGCTCTTTGGGGCATAGTTTGTCTCTTTTTCTGTCTGTAGGGTGCCTAAAACAGTGGAGCCTTGACCCTGATTGGAACTCCTAGGCACTACAGTAATAAATAATAATAATAATAGGAGCAAGACCAAAATATTATTCTAAGAAATGAAGCTGCAAAACTACTTCATTTGCTTGTAAAGATTGTTAACTTTTTATGTAACTTGTCAAATAATGTAACACAAACATGTGAAATCATTACACAAATGGAGGTTTACAACAGGTGCTACTCAAATCAGATAGTCAATAATAACTGTATAGGAATACACACAATTCTCTAGCTGTAGGGTCAGAGAGAAATCCAGCACTAAGCAAAACTTTACTTCAAAAGACTAAGGGTTTTTTTCCCTTTTTATTTCCAAACTCCACCTTGTTTCTTTTAAATGTCTCCAATATTATCTTGGAAACTGAAAATCTGTTCCACTGGTAATAGCTCATTTATTTAGCTTCACTAAGAGGACATAGCCAAAATAGGCTAGAGAGTGCCTGACATCATGCCAACAAGAGGCATTTCCAAATACCAAGAGGCATAGAAAAGATGATTAATCTGTCTCCTGAAGATCCCGCTCTCTAGGAATTTATTTTCAGAAATTGTGTTCACATGATCAGGCTGGGCTATATCTGAATCCAAAATCCAGGAATCATAATCCTTTTTTTAAAAAACTGGTTTGCCAGTGGCTAAGTAAAGGAAATGTTCCAGTCTGAGGCATTCACATTTTGATTTGCATTCAACCACACACAGTGTCGCAAAAACAGGATGAGATAATTGAAAAAAGTATTCTGAAAAAAAGGCAACGTGAACACTCTCAATTGCACTGCAGTTTTTACCGGTGACTGGGAGCTTTTTTAATACTGTTGAAGGGATTAAGTAGACAAGGTGCTCTAGCTGTCTCATGTTGTGCACATAACAATCTGTGGCTGCATATATAAAGACATCATTGTGAGCTAGCCAAATATCTGTAACACTGGGAATAGAACTTAGAAACCTGGATCCAAAAACCAAAATCAGCAGCCAGCAAAGAGAATTACTGATATGTAAACAGGTTTTGAGTTTAGCTGATCTAACAAGTAGTGGGTATTAGAAACCACTGGCTTCTATGACACATTTTCTCATATTTTTCTGTAGGAGTCCTATCTTAGTACATCTCTAGGCTTTCAAAAGGGATTATAGTCACCCCAAATTGGACTGAAACACCCTTTCTCCAATTTTTAATGCAATATCAGTACTACGAATGTTCAACCTCTCAAGAATGCAGCAAGCCTATTGTTTCCTGTTCCTAGAACTGCTTGCCAGTCCAAGAGTAAGTTTTATACTTGGTATTTACTGGCTTGAAGTTATCTGAACCATTCTTGCTCTACTATAAACAGAAGTCTGTTTTGTTACAAGTTGTAAACATGCAAACTGGAGTTTGCATTTCTAACAGGTTTGGTTTCATTGAGTCTCTCAGGACTCTTATACCCTCTTAAAATAGTTTTCTACCTGCTGGTTGAAATTCTGAGAGGAATATTTCTTTAGAGTATTTAATGGAGTCAGTAAATACTCCAATGCAAGCCCCCTTGGAACCCACTCATTGGCAACAGATGCCAAGAAGCTAGTAGCCCTAGTATCTGGGACACTGCTGTCACAATCTATGTCCCGGGGAAGACATTCCTCTCCCTTCAGGGGGCTTGAACGCTCCTCCTGATCTGAGACTTGTGCTCCTTTCCGACGAAGTGTGAGCTGTAAGGGGATGTGGTCTTCTTTTGTAGACGAGCATGGCCTAGTACTGCCCCTGGCTCCACATCTGGGTTTAAGTAGTGGTGAAAAATTGGTAGAATCTGCCAGCATTTTCACAATGTTTCCAGTCTCAACAGACAAAGGAGTCCTAGAGGGTCCCTCAAAGTCTTCGTCACTGTTGTCTCGGAGAGTAACTGTGGTGTAACTTGGCAATTCCAGCACAGGATACAACTTGTTTCTAAATCTGCAAACTAAAGACACAGAGTCAGATGCATAACCCATCCTTTTTTTTTTCTTTAAAAGCAAATTTGTTTCTCAATGTATATGGCCCTTATCTCCATAGTATCTGAACATCGCAGAATCATTGATTAATTTTATGCTCTTCACAGTCCTTTGAGACAGTAAAGTAGTTTTCCCATAGGAAATCTGTGGCTGAGCCAGAAATTCAACTCAGGTTTCCTGAATCCCGGTCTCTTACCCTACCCACTAGGCAATCCTTCCTGCCTCTCTCATAACAATACAGAGATCAGTTGATTTGAAATGATTGGCCTAGAACTAGAGCTGGAAGTCTAGTGAGAACAGACTCAAGAGATTTCTGCTATTCCCTGACCCCATCTAATCACACATATTACAGGAGCTTTCCTTGCAGCATTAAAGTGCTTACTGGTTTTGACTGGGGCTGAAAGTGGAAGAGCAGAGGCATGAAAGTTTGAGAGGAATAAAATTTAACCCAATACCTTCCTGAGCCAGACTCAATGCTTCATTTCACACTTGAGTTCAGCAGCCTCACAGGTGGGGGCAGTGGTGTCTCATATTTATTTACTTCTTTCAGAATTCTCACTTTGCAATTCAACTATCTTTCTCTGCATTTATTTCCTCCCCCTTCTTCCCCCCAGAGTTCTTCCCTTGTTGGTAGTTGTTGCTCCTGTGCTGACCTGTGAACTGGGATCCTTCACTGATCTGTGCATGGAGGCTTCAGAATGCCCAGCAACTCAGTCTATCCTCCCCAGCAGACTCTGCATTGCTGGTGCCAGAAGGCTTCTAGAAGGCTGACTGAATGGGAGTCATATGTAGCAACCATAGTGATGTGAGAATCTCCCATAGTTTAAGCAGCACTACCACCACCTGTGTCAAAAGTGCTCAACATAGCTGAGCCATGAATTTGTTCTGGATGCCCTTGTAAAATATGTGCATATTTCAGCAAGGTCATACAGTGCACCAGTTGCCTTGTGCCTATGTTGCTCTTGTGCTCTCAAAAGGCTTACAACCTGCTGGAGATGAGGCATGGGGATGGGAGGCTTCCTGCAGTCTCCTCCTACACAGCAACACTGGGGCTCCATGAGAGGAGAACCCTTAAACATGGGGGTGGGGGAATCAATACATACTTCCTTCCATATCTTTTCTTTAATAGCACTGGACAGATGCAAACCTAACAGGTCTTGTGCACCTGCTGGGCGGGATGACATCCAGCCCTTTCCTGTACTGTCACTGCCAATGATAACTCCCCAACCTCAGTGGCTGCCTCTTGTGATTCCTCTCAGAGAGGCTGCAATGGGTTCCCAGTTCCTTACTCAAGGGCAAAAGTTGTTTTAAAAGTCTCATGATTCTAGTTTTACATTTGCACATATTTCAGCCAGGGAACTGAGACTGAATTGCAAGTGCTTCGGAGGATAGGATTAACATTCAAAATGATCTGGACAAACTGGAGAAATGGTCTGAAGTAAATAGGATGAAATTCAATAAGGACAAATGCAAAGTACTCCATTTAGGAAGGAACAATCAGTTGCACACCTACAAAATGGGAAATGACTGCCTAGGAAGGAGTACTGCGGAAAGGGATCTGGGGGTCATAGTGGATCACAAGCTAAATATGAATCAACAGTGTAACGCTGTTGCAAAAAGAGCAAATATCATTCTGGTATGTATTATCAGGAGTGTTGTAAGCAAGGCATGAGAAGTAATTCTTCCGCTCTACTCCGCACTGATTAGACCTCAACTGGAGTATTAGGTCCAGTTCTGGGCACCACATTTCAGGAAGGATGTGGACAAATGGGAGAGAGTCCAGAGAAGAGCAACAAAAATGATTAAAGGTCTAGAAAACATGACCTATGAGGGAAGATTGAAAAAATTGGGTTTGTTTAGTCTGAAAAAGAGAAGACTGAGAAGGGACATGATAACAATTTTCAAGTATGTAAAAGGTTGTTACAAGGAGGAGGAAGAAAAATTGTTTTTCTTAACCTCTGAGGATAGGACAAGAAGCAATGGGCTTAAATTGCAGCAAGGGAGGTTTAAGTTGGATATTAGGAAAAACTTCCTAACTGTCAGGGTGGTTAAGCACTGGAATAAATTGCCTAGGGAAGTTGTGGAATCTCCATCATTGGAGACTTTTAAGGTTAGACAAACACCTGTCAGGAATGGTCTAGATAATTAGTCCTGCCACAAATGCAGGGAACTGGACTAGATGACCTCTCGAAGTCCCTTCCAGTTCTATGAATTGTAACAGCATTTGTTATGTTTAAAAATACATTTTCCTATGCATATTCCTATGCCACGGTGTGCAGTGATGGGGATGCAGGGAAGTAAGGAGGGTGACATGGAGCGGAATTTTGTGCAGAAATAAAGGTGAAGGAGTGATGCATCCCGAGCTCTTCAGAACTAACAGCCACAGGAAGGGGAGTGTAGTGTAACTTGGGGTGACCCAAGAAGGAATATGTTATTTACACATCCTCAAACCCCAGTTACTAGTTAAATTAAGGGTGTCATACACAGCATGGAATGGGAACTTTGCCAGGGTCTCAGAAAAGAGTATTCTTAAAACCATGATTGTAATTATATAACAAGTCAATCCCTTTTCTATAGGTGAAATTGGGAAAGATTTGAATTCTGATTCAAGAACAAAGAACCAGGAACTTCAGCTTTCACTTGTGATCCTGCTTGTACAGTACCCTCGACTGTCTACAAGGCAGCAAACTTTATATCAGGGGTTCTCAAACTGGGGGTTGGGACCCCTCAGGGGCTCACAAGGTTATTATATGGGGGGTTGCGAGCTGTCAGCCTCCACCCCAAACCCACTTTGCTTCCAGCATTATAATGGTGTTAAATATATAAAAAAGTGTTTTTAATTTATAAGATGGGTCACACTCAGAGGCTTGCTATGTGAAAGGGGTCACCAGTACAAACGTTTGAGAACCACTGCTTTATATAGCCCATACCATCTCCCCACCCCACAACACTCAGTGCGGGGCGGGGGGGGGGGGGGGGAAGGAAGGCTAGGGGAAGAAGTTGGAGGAACAAGAGAACGACCCTACCCAGGAAAGAGCCCCAGACTTCCTTTCTTATAGACTGCCAGCAGGCTTATGACCACTTCACTAGGACAAACACCAACTCACCATCACCTGGTGATACTGCCACCTTCCTCTTGGTGGTGGGCCTCTTAGAAGGCCCTGGCTCTGCTTCCTCCTCTGCAGAGGGCAGTTGGTTGTCTGCATTCCTCTCTGAATCCTCCGTCACCAACTCTGGCTCCTCCACTGTTAGCTGGGGTCTTGGGACCTGCTTGATCTGACCTCCGGGTGCCCCACTTCCCTGATCAGAGGGAAATAACTTTGGAAAGTTCATGGGATGCCACACTGTGGTCACAGGGGAAGCCTCAGGATTTGGAACCACCTTAGCATTTGGCTGAGGCCCAGCCTGAGCACACAGCGTAGGGGCAATACTGGCTGTGGCTGCAGTAAGCCCTTTTGGAGGGCTATGTCTCCCACGTGAGGGTGGAGGCCTTGCTCCAGAAGCTGCATGAGAAGCCCCATCCAATTGTAGCAAAGGTAACACATTTCCTCCAGCAGCTGAACTTATTGGGAAGAAAGGAGTTGCAGGCTGCAATGCTAACGGAGCCCGAAGCTTGGAACGGCACTTTCTGGGCATTTCAAGGATTCACCTTAAGTCCTGCCAGTGAGACGGGGTGACTAAAAGGTCAATCTCCCTGCAACCCTCCCTTTGTTTTAGGAAAGAATAAAGGGGCTGCCTAGCCCTTTCAGAGTAGCAGCCGTGTTAGTCTGTATCCGCAAAAAGAAGAACAGGAGGACTTGTGGCACCTTAAATTTGTTAGTCTCTAAGGTGCCACAAGTCCTCCTGTTCTTCTTCTAGCCCTTTCAGACAGTTCAGGGCTAGGATGAGCCAGAAGAATGAGATAATCCATCCACAACTACTCCAGCCAGGAGCAGCTGGGCAGGAAAGGAGCTAGCACTGCAGCTGGATCATTGAGTGAGCAATTAACACCAGCAGCATACAATCCGCTAGGCTGCTCGGGAGGGCTGCTGGCAGTCCCTGGGGATTAGGAGGGGGGCCCAGCCAGTAAGGCTGAATCACATGGTTGGTTAGATCAAAAAGCTAGGTCTTAAAGGAGGCACAGCAAAAAAAAAAAGGCTGTTTGGTTCTTAAAGAGACAGTGGACCTGAATCAGAATTTTTGTACCAGCTGAGTTATGCTTGTGTAAGGGGACTGTTGTCCCCTTATTAAAACTCAGTGGGGGGTATTTTGGTTGGCTAGCTTCCAGAACCAAAAGAAAGGGGAAGGGTTGATGGGAAATCAGGACCCTGAGACTGACAGTCCCCAGGAGCAATGGGGAGAGGCCAATGCTCCAGGTCAGCCTGATTGACAGGATGGTCAGGCTAGTCAGGAGGCCAGGAGGGTCCTGTCCTCTGTGTGACCTGGAATTGCCTGGGTCAGACAGAGTGGGGCCGAGCTAAGGAGCAAGCAGGGGCCTACGCTGGGCTGGGGAGCAGAGCCGTGCCAGCCAGAGAAGCAGTCCAAGAAGCAGGTCAGTGCTGGGAGCAGAGTCACAGAGGCAGCCCAAAGAGCAGATGTGTGCTGGGAAGAGATCTGCAGCAACCAGAGCCAGAGAAGCAGCCCAGGGAGCTGGAGGCAGAGCAGCAGCAGTGCTGACACAGAGTGGAGCTGGAGCTGGAGCAGTCTGGAGCTGGGTGCAGTGAGCAGTTGGGGAGAGCGAGGGGGACCCTGGGCCGCGGGCCCAGCACAGGGAGATGCCCCCACCCAAGAGGCCCTGCAGGCCAGACTTGGAAGGAGATCGTAACCCTGACAGGGTCCTGCCATCTAAAGCCTGAGGGCATGTGGCCAGAGCAAGTGTTCGACCCGCAGCATCCCTGCAGCACAGCCAGGGTCTGAGAAGGGGGCTTGGGACTTGTGAGGAACAGACTGGACTGCCCTGACATTCCAGAGATGCTGGTTGTGATGTCCC